AAAAAAGGGAGAATGTAAAATAAAGAACGTTTTCTCTTTTTTTTTCTGTATTGAAAACAGACAAAAGAAAATAAACGTAGTATGCTATGAGAGAGACTCACTGAACTACGCTATTGTGAAGGCGGGTGATTGAACAGAACGTGTTATATGCCTTTGTAGACGTGTAAGAGTTAAATAAAGAATTAGTCGGTTATTTGCTATCACTCTTTCTTTTTCTCTCCCCCGCTCTGCGGATCAACAATTGAATCAATCGTCGTTGGTCTGTTCGTACAATTACGTAAGTGAAAAAAAAAACGAGTGCATGATTGTCTTGCCGACAACCACAACAAACTCATCACGATAGAATGAGACAGACGAAATGGGAAATAATCAGCATATAGAATTACTTAGACTATTGTGATAGTTCTTGACCTTATTCGTCAAGCATTGTCCGTCTCAATTTTTTTTGCTGGAAAGAAGAAAAAAAAGATAGACAGATTGTTTTCATTGAGAGACCATGCAACAACATCGGTCATACACATATGTATACATGTATATATATATATATATATATATTTATATCTTTCTCTCCTTCCTTCTCGTTTTTTTTCTGTTCGCCGTTGGATAATGAATGTCCGGGGCACATTGAATAGATGGAATACTTCATCGTTTGTTCTGCTCAGCTGAGTTACTTTTTCTTGCAGCTGTTCACCTATTCATTTGACGGGCACGCGTGTATTATACGTATGTATATGTAGTTAAAAAAGAGGTGTATGCCCTCCCGTCATAACTACTCGACCTGTCATGTATGACTTATTATTTAAAATTACATACCTATATAGATATAAGTGCCTCTTTAGATGCTATTGATCGTACATTGACCGATTTTTCAAATAATACTAACAACAATAACAACAACAACAGTTCATCAATGAGTGCAGCAACAGCATCGCGTTCACCTTTTCAATCACATGGTGTCGTAGACGAATCATATTGTTCACCATGGGATTTAAAAACACAAGAAGAAAAATTTAAATTACTTAGTGAACAACGATCAACATCAACATCAAATACAATTACAGCACTAACTGATGCTCTACTTCATCCATCGAATACTAACAGTCGTTCAACATCTTTATCTTATACATCTAATAATAATAATAACAGCAATCCATTTCATCGAACTCGTTCAGCACGTACATCATCATCTACAAAAAAATCATTTACACTTCGTGAACCTTCACCACCTTCACTTCCTCCATTACCACCAGGTGGGTTAATGCCAACAGCAACTAATATCGCATGTCAATGTGGCACTAGTAATAATAATCTTAATAATAATAATAATGCTCGAAATCGATCCTTTAATATTAATAATAATAACAACAACAATAATAACAATAACAATAATTTAATTGTTGAAAATCTTGATCCTTCTCTGAAAAAAATTTCTTATTGTCTCAATGCACATATTGTTCGTTCGGGTACAGATACATCACGCAGTTTTGTTTTTGCAACATCATCACCGTCAAATGAACGTTCACAAAGAGTCAATACAGCACCAGCTAAAGTTGATCTATCACATCTTCTAGAAAATCGACAAGAATCAACAAATATTACTTCACATAGTAGTACAATCTCGTCATTATCAACAACATCATCATCAACTGAATCACCATTGATAACAGATGATACTAAACCTATGTCATTTGAAGTAGGTCCTTTTTATGATAAGCGATTATTTACAAAGGTCATAAACTTTCTTTTTTTTTTTTATTATCATTTACTCTAGGCTGCATTACAAAGATTTAAACGTTTAAGTTCATCAACTCGATGTAGTAATACTAGTGTTTCAGCATCATCTCTACCTAAAACACAATTGATAACTAATCAAGAATCACCAATAGCATATGAACGACCATGGGATACTTTACAAACATCGCTTATCAATAGTCTTTCATCTCCCCCGTTATCAACATCTAATCGTAATGGAAATTCATTACAAAAGATGCCAAGTACAGAAGAATCAAAACAACATTGTACACCACCATTTCCTATGGTTTCTCCTACGATTAGTACTTGTCGACATAGCACATGTTCACCAGACGATAAAAATAATATTAGTAATACAAACATCGGAGGTAAGCAAACAATTTACAAAAGATTGTTGTTGCTTTTTATACCTAAATAAATCTAAAATTATTCTAGTCTATTGAAAAAATTTCATTTTTGTTCTCTCTTATTTGAATAGAAATCAACAAGATAAACAATCGTAACTTCGTTCCATTAACATCGGATATTGAGACAACAATTCCAATTGATCGTTATTTGTAAGTGTTGATCTCACATTTCACAAGAAGAAGAAAAAAAATGGAAATTTTTATATTTATTTAGGTGGTATCATTATGCAATGTCACGACGAACAGCTGAAAGTATTTTACAAACACGTCCACCTGGTAGTTTTATTGTACGTCAAAGTGAAAGTGGAAATCAAAATGATTATTCACTATCTATTAGGTAAAATAAATGATGTTTTTTTCTTCAATGAAGAATTTATTTTTTTTTGGCTTCTTTCATATAGAACTACAAAAAGTTGTATGCATATGCGAATATGTTATACAGCAGGTGTTTATATTCTTGGAGAATGTTCAAGACCATTTCCAAGTGTTTCACGTATGATTGAATATTTTAGTCAAACATGTGTACCTATACGCGGTGCGGCACCTATTAAATTAGGTACACCTGTATTTCGATGTGAAACATTATCATCATCATCACCACCTAATAATCATCATTTTAATGATGAAGATGAAGAACTTTTGTAATTTAATTTTTTCTTTTCTTTTTTGTATATTTATATACATATCTATATATCTATATCTATAGAAGATTATTTCTTATTCTTTGATATGTGACAGCAACAAATCTTAAAAAATCTTTCTTCCTCGTTTCTTCTCGATACAAGCAGATAGTTTGTTTCTTTTTTTGTGGTTTCTGTTACCCAACATTTATGTTGAAATTTCTGGTGATTCTTTTCTTTTTTTCTTTTTTTGTCTTTGACTCTCGTGCATTAGCCAATGACTAATTCAGAAATAAATAATATTATTATTTGATTAATGAAAATTTGATACTTTTTTATTTAATACAAAGTAATTAAAATCATAATATATTTATATTTGATTACATTGATAACTAACGACATACTTTTTTTTTCTACGAACCTCTTTCCGTTGCTCTGACAATAACATTTATTTTTACAATGATTATGGCAACCACAACGATTCTATCATTTGTTTATTCAAAAATTACAACGAAGACATGGCTCGAAACTACAGTGCTTCCCAATATGAAAAATCTTTTACACCAAAACGTTTACAAATGTATCAAGTACCAAAAGATCCTCAACCAGGCGTGGTTAGTAACAAAGAAGACGAAAACCGTTCTAAAATTAATTTTTCTTTATTCTAGCATCCAGCTGCAATAGTATCAACAGATAGCCGTAGTTTTGTAGCTAATGATCATGGACGTCTTTTACCAGGTGTAGAACGATCAAAACGATCACCATTTGGTGAATATATTGGAACATGGGATTTACCAAAAAGAATTCCCGGGCCTTATCATGTTCATCCTATGGGACGAACAGAAAAGAATTTTAATACACTTTGTGCGCAACGTGATGAAACAATTCAGTCAATGGAACAAGCACGTACATACGAAGTATGATTAACCAAATTCTTTTATTAAATTCAAATATTCAATATCTATTTTGTTTTTATTCTAGAAAAATAATTCGTGTGGTCACAATTCATCATAAGAAAAATAAACAAATCATTGATCACATTTAAAAACGTTCTTTTTTATTTTTTTTAATACTCTTCTTTTTTTTCTATTATTTCAAATACCTTGACTTGTCTGAATTTTTGTACGATCCATATGCTCATTGAATTCACTTGTTTTTTGTAATGGACTACGTGGTCCAGCAAAAATCATTTGAACAAAATCATCTGCTCGAATATGTTTATGTGAAGCAATTGTTTGTATTAATATAAGAAAACCATCGAAATCAATATCACGTGTGCCTTGTGGATAAACACCATTTAATGTAAAATCTCCTAATATTGAAATAAAATCTTTATCAAGCTCATTGATTGTATATTTATCATCGAATATTCGACATTCACGCATCCAATTACTTAAAACAGAATTTGTTAAACGTGCTTCTAAATGTGAACTTTGACGACGATATGCAAATGTAGCAAATTCTTTATAGAGTGAACGTAAACGTTTACGTTCATCATCAGTTAAATGTAATTTACGACTTTCTTCAACAACATCACGCATAATATTAACAGCAGCAAGAACTTTTTTAGCATCCCATGAACGATTTGATTTTTTATTAGTACCAACTTCGGGAATAGCTTCAATTTCAGTTCGCCATGTTTGAAATGAAAATTCATCAGCTATAAGCATTTTTTTAACAAATTCATTTAATGATAAATGAATTTCTTTTGCTAAAAGGTGAATACAATCCAGAAAACCATTCCAATCAAACGTATTTGTATCTAATTTATATAGACCAACGTTGATATAACGAGCCGAAACACTCGATAGAATACTTTCTATAAACATAAAGATATTGTAGTGAGAAATAAAGAAATATAAATCTTTAAAAATACCAATAATATTCACTGAATATATATTTGGAATAACATGTGATGCACGAAGCCATTGAATAAGTACATTTTGTTGAATTAAACCATGTTGAAATTGTTCAGATGCTAATTTAAATAATTCGAATAATTTATTCATGAATTCTTTCTAGAAAATAAAGAGTACAAGTTCATTCATTATAAATAAATTGCTTACATCAAGTTCATCACGTTTTATCCATGATTCAAACATGTGCAATGTTTTAAGTTTTGCTACATCTTTTGATAATACTTCTGTTTGTTGTTTTTCTTCAATTTGTGTTGAGATTGCATCATTTTGTTGTAATGTTTTAATCGATTTATTCTTATGAATCTTTCGATTTCTTTTTTTGCTACGAGATGTTGATGATTTTAATTTCTTTTTCCTTTTTTTTCTCAACTTTTTACGTGACACATGTCGGTCATTCGTTTTTATTTGCGCCTATTAATTCAAAAACATCAATAGTAGACTCATAAAAGGAAAAGGAAACCAATTACAAAGGAGATTCATCAAGCATACTAATTTAACTAACATTCATTCACATATATAGAATACATTAAAACATCTCGGATATGAGCATCATTGAAACTAATCATAAGTATTCAGTATGTAGAGAGATGTTTATTCTTATGAGACTCTTAAATTTTTATTACAATCTATATCTGTTGGATAGAATTTGATATTCCTGATGAGTTTCAAGTATATTATATAATAGAATATGACTCCGACTGTGTCGTTACTAAACATTGGTAAAATTTCTCCATTATCTTTTTCTTCTTCATTATCTTTCGATTTGTTGACATAATTTAATGTCATTGACTATAAATACAAAAAGACGTTGATATATTACACCAGTTCTGTTACTATTGCCTAACATTTTTTCTATTAAATATGCACGATTAATCCACCTTCTCCGTTTATGTTTTCCATAATTGTTTATTTTAACGTAATACCATTAAGCATCATCGTTTCTCGCTTTGCATGTAAATGATAGAACATATGTTGCTCGCATTTCAGAGATTGTTATTATAACTCATGGAACCAGATATAATCGCTCACTATCGAGAATAAGAAAGTAATTATAATAAATAGGCTCATTCTTAACAAAATTTACTTAGAGGAACTATGAAGTGACTTTCTTGTTTTTTCTTAGAAGGGTTAATTCAGTTTCTTACATTATTATATTGATTAATAAGTGTTGTCATTGATGGTAATAAACCTAATTGAATTTTATCTTGAATTTCTTTTAATTTAATAACATCATTATAAATTGATGAACTTATAATTTTCTTTAAAATTTCATCTTTACTTTTATGTAAACGAATTTTAATGATATCGATTAATTGAATAAAACCACAAAAATCAAAATCTTTTGTTTTTCGTTCATAAATTTTCTTTTTTATCATTTGTTTACGTAAATTATTCCAATCATTTATAAATATTGATGATGTATATTCATTATCAAATAGATCTGAATCATCTAATAATTTTAACATATTTTCACGTGTTATTCGTTGTATTCCATTGATATTTTTACCATATTCATTAAATATTCGTAATAAACAACCAATAATAGTATCTTGATCAATAAACATTTCATTAAAACTAATAAAAGGTTTTTCAATTTGAATTTCATCAATAAGATCATGCATTACTTGACGTGTTATTTCATAATCATGTTCATCCAATACATTGAAATCAGATAGAATTGAACCAGTTTTTGGTGTTGTTATTGAACCAATACTACTCGTAGCAGTACTACCACGTGAAATTGAATGTTTTAAAAAAATTGTTGTTAAACGACGCCCAGTACTTGTTGTACTAAGACGAGGTACAGGTCGATTTTTAGTTAAGAACATTTTTAAATTGTTGTTTTATCAAAGATACGAAAAAGAAAAACAAATAAAGAAAGAATAATTTTCGTTTTTGTTTAGTAACATAATTTTATTTATGATGATGTTTATGATATTTAGATAAATGAGATTGAAATGGTGTTTCATGATTTAATTTTTGAAGATCATCATTCAGTTTTTTAAATACATTAGAAACTGATTTATGAGAAAGTTTTTGACGAGTTAAATTATCTATAGATTGCTTTGGAAGATTAGAACGTTCATCGGATGATAGAACAGAGATTTTCGATAGTTTTTTTTTATTATCAATTTGTAAATGCATCATATCTGTTTCTAATTGTTCATTAGTCTGTACTGATTTGTTAGTACGTGGATTTGTCAGGAAATGACCGAGTACTTGTTGTAAATGATAGAGTTCAGTGATTTGAGAATCAAACTCGCATTGTTCATTGCGTAATGTTTCAATAATAAATTTTGCACAAGATTTCATGCATTTAAATCGATCTTGTTTTGATAAATAATTTTTTCGTTGAATTTGTTGACGAAATTGTTCAATTACTGGATGCAATGTACATTGAATTTGATCAAGTATTTTATTAAAATTTGTTTGTTGAAAAAGTTTATCAACAGTTTGTTTTGTATTTTCAATAAATTCTTTATCAAGACTATCATCACTATACGAAGAACATAAGTGATGATGAGATAAATAAGACGATACTCGTGTTTGAGATCGTGCTCGATTTTGATTTTGATTAGATTTAGATAAAAACTTCTTTGTATGGAAATGATTAGATATATCGATGATACTATTACTAGGAGCATGTCGAAGTTTTGAATAGAACATTTGATATTATAATACATTACTTTTTGTATTCATTTAATTATGCATAGAATTAAGTATATTAGTAGCAAAAATTAATCAAAACAAAAATTTCATTGATATCAGCGCCCTTTGATTTACTTTCATCTCTTTTAACTTATCGAATGATTAATATAATTCTTCTTCGTAGCGTTTCTTTATTTTAATTCAAGACATGTCAGTTAAATTAATATTTACCTCACATCATTCTATCATCGATTCATCTGGGAGATTATATTTCATTGCCTTGTATGGCATGCTACAGTAGAAAGATTACAAAGTCTATAAACAACTCTTTCATTGATTAAAACAGTCGGAGTTGAAATGAATTATTCATTTTCTCCAGTTAATTTTTCGATCGAATACAATATGATCAAAAATAGTGATGAGATCTTCAGTAGATGTCAGCAAACTCTTGAATGCGAAATTTTCATAGATAAAATGATTTGTAAATATATGAAATAAAAGAGGATATATCTAATAATTAAATATAATTCATAGTTTATTTATAGAAGATTGATCAATAAAAAAAACAGGGACTTCGAAAAAATAAAGAATAAATTTTGTTAATCTATTCATTTAATTGGTTGAGGTTGACTCACACGATAATCTACCAATCACATGTCTTGCAAATTTATTCGTTCTATGCACTGCTTGTATCATGTGAACTCTTGTCCTCTGAATATCAAATACGAAATAACTATTGTGATATTTTAGATAAATTAATCAATGACATCACTTACACCAAAACCATCTCAAATTGAATCTTGGGATCGTTTACCTTCCGACTGGCAAAATGATGAACGTATGGATGCATTATTTTCTTTTTTTAAAGATCGTGATTTAAATGCTGTTCATTATGATGCTAAAATGAAATTTTGGAGTGAAACAATAATTGATTACTGTGAAGATCATGGTCTTTTACAAATTGATATACCAACAATTGTTTCACGTTTTCGTCGTAAAGGAAGAACACCAAAATGTCTTGATAAAATATTTGAGGAATTAACTAAACAAAATCGTCTTATATCAACAAATGATTATGCTAATTCTCAACAATCATGGTCATCATGGACATTTAATAAACTAGCAAGTCCATTAACTGGTTGGATGTCTCCTAGAACACCAATTGATCAAGAAGTTTTTATTATTAAAGAACTTGTTGATGTAAGAATTTACTTTTTCGTTAATTATGAAATTAAAAATATTTATTTTTATTCTAGAAAAAAGCTCAACAAGTTATTGACACATTACAATCTCATGTTTATGTTCCAACATTTGATTGTGTTGTTTCATTTTCAACATTTATTGATACATGCCGTCGATGTACATTAATCGATGAAAATTCGATCAATTTAATTATATCAACATTAACAAAAGATAAGAAAATTTTAATAGATCATATTGGAGATGCTAAAGATGTTAAAGTAAAATAGTTTTATTTATTATGATTATTTTTACCTAATTACATTTTTTTAAGGTTGTTAAATTTATTATGCCTGGAACATCGATCGTTCGACCATTAACTGAAATTGAAACTAGTGTTCTTTTGTAAGTAAAAGAGAAACGAAATTTATTTTCCTATTCAAATATATTTAGATTACGTCATTCAAAACAACGTTTAGAAGAACAATTAAAGAAAACAGATCAACAAATCGAAGGGTAAATTAATTTTCTGCTTCTTCAAAATTTATTAAAAATCGATTTTATTTAGATTACTTGCAGATATTTATCGTCATTTAAAAAATAGCAATCGTACAGCAGCGAAGAAATTATTACGTAAAAAGAAATTACTTGAACTTGAACATGATAAAAAAGAAAATATGATTGAACATCTTAATGGTGTTCTAACACAAATTGAACAAACAGATTGTTCATCATTGGTAAATATTTATTTTATGATATTATCAATGATAACTAAACAAAAATCTATCTATTCTTTTTAAGATTATTAATGCTTATTCATCAGGTGTTCAAGCTCATAAAGAATTATTACGTAAAAATGGTCTTACACCTGATGCAGTTGAAGATATGATCGATGAAGTACATGAAGTAAGAAAATTTATTTTTAAATTCTTCATCGAATTCTCTCTTTTTTCTTTCAATTATAGATGCTCGATACACAAAATGAAATCGATGAAGCACTTCGTCGACCAGTTACAAATGATACAACTGATATGACAGAATTAGAAGATGAACTTGAAGAATTATTAAAACAACCAATACCACCAACACCAGCAACTAGTCTACCAATTAATGTCGATATAATTAATACACCGATTGCTGATGATGTTATTAAAGTACCGGAAACAGATCCATTTGCTGATCTTGAATTACGTCTTCAAAAATTAGGTGTACAAGAACGTAAGTTTTTAATATTCTTTTTCGATTTCAAATGTTAATTTCATATCATATTTCTTATTACTTTCTTTTACAGCAACATCAAATAAAATTGCTGACATAGCATCATCAAGTCATTAACTTTGTATGTTAACTTTTATTTTGTATTTAATATTTTTGGTGCTTTTTTTTTCTTCTTCGAAGAAAAGAACGATCTTTTAACTGTAAAAATATGTATTTAGTGTTGATTTTTTTATCTTATTCAGTTCTTTGTGTATTCATTGTAATATGATCCTCGATGAAGAATGTACTATAGACATGATGAAATACTTTCTAACAACGGCATTTATCCCATCTCGTGCTAGTGCAGCACATGATGGTCTTATTCATCAATACGTGAAATAGACGAATAAAACTAGAATGTACAAACCTTTAAATGACTATATATGACCTTAGCAATTGATGTAAAAAGATAAAACTAATTGTTGTAGTACGACTAGTCTTCTTTTTTTTGTTGTATTGTTTACTGTTTTCTATTCATATACATGGTTCATAAAACAAAAATCGTTATTTTCTTTTTGTTTTTCTTAACTATTTTACAAGCAGAACATGTTTGGCTTGTTAAATTTCCACATAAAGATAATTATTTATTATATATTCAAAAATCGTTTCCATTAATTGATCTTCTTCAACATGATTATGATCGATCAACATATGTTTTTCTTATACCAAATAATTATCTATCAGATTTTACTCATTTTATACATCGATTACATGGTTCCTATCGAATTATTACAAATAATCCAGAAAAAACATGGAAAAAATCTCAAAGAAGATCAAAACGATGGGTTCCATCAGATAATCCATTAGATCAAACTTATTATCAACATTTTCTCTCATATGATGAACAACAAGATTGGTATAATTTACTTAAAACATCTTTATTAACAAAGAAATTTATTCGTTCATATACAATTGGTCATACATATGAAAATCGTACGCTTACTATTATAAAAATTCTTGGTCATAGTCATCGTCGACATCAACAACGTAAATATGCTATATATATTGATGGAGGTATGCATGCACGAGAATGGTTATCAATTGGTGTAGCAAATTATATTCTTATACAATTTCTTAAATTAAGAAAAACAAATGTTAAAGTTCGAGAAATTTTATATAATTTTGATATATATATGTTACCATTGATGAATCCAGATGGTTATGAATTTTCAAGACATGATAATCGTCTTTGGAGAAAAAATCGTTCACCAACACCTCATTCAGATTATTGGAATGGTGATCAGTCTTGTTATGGAATAGATCTTAATCGGAATTTTCCCTATGAATGGAATAATACGATTGGCGCGTCAGATCATGCATGTTCACATTCATATCGTGGACCAAGTCCAGCATCAGAAAATGAAGTCATAAGTGTTGTCAATTTTCTTCGACAACAACAACTTTCTAATCAAAAATTTTATGCGTATTTTAATTTACATGCTTATGGAAGATTTTGGTTACTACCATGGACATATTCATTATCGAAAAAAGTATCGAATTATGATGAATTATTTAATAGAAGTAGTAAAGTTGTGTCAAGTGTAATGAAGAAAACATATAGAGTGGGACAAGCATCACGTTTACTATATCCATGTACTGGAACTAGTATTGATTTTGCTGCTACATTAATGCCGCATGCAATGACTTTTGAATTATCACCAATGTTCAAAGGTTTACCAATGTGTTTTGATCAAAATAAGACACTTGACGATACATGTACCGTCGGATTTTTGACTGATCCAAAAGAAATTGAAATAGATGGAACTGAAATATTTAATGCTATTGTTGAATATATGTATTCTATTATACGAGATCGTTGTCTTTAATATAATAAAACAAAACATCTATCATATAATCTGAATAAAAACTTTTTATCTCATTATCTTCTCTTCTTTCAGACCTTGAAAAAAAACACTTAAAAGTATGCGTCTCGAAACATGCTATTACTGTTCTTCAACTGTATGGCCTGGTCATGGCATTCAATTTGTACGAAATGATTGCAAAGTAAAAGATTATTTTTCTCTACTTTGTTTGATTGATTTGGAACTCAAAAAAAAAATAGATTTTTAAATTTTGTCGATCACGTTGTCATCGTGCATTTAAGAAAAAATGGAATCCACGTAAATCACGATGGACAAAAGCCCATCGAAAATTTACTGGAAAAGATTTGACAATAGATACAACATTTGAATTTGAAAAACGTCGTCATGAACCAGTAAAATACGATCGTGAATTATGGCAAAATACAGGTAAGTGAATACAATGTAATTAAACAATCAAATAATTTTTTCTTATATATCGTATTTAGTCAAAGCTATGGGAAGAATTGAAGAAATTCGTACTAAACGAGAACGACATCATATTATGAAACGGTAGAAATAGAATTTTAATCTACAAAAAAATACATATAATATTTTGTTTATTTTATAGTCTTCGACAAGGTACACTTGATCGAAAAGCAGCTGATTTACGTGAAGTACGTGATTATATACATCTCGTACGAGCGCCAAATGCTACCAAACCCATGGAAGAAATTGAAATGGTACAAAAAGCAATGGCTAAACGTGAGGATGCTGGAGAACTTCTAACAAAAATTGGAACAACAGTAACAACAACAAAAAGATTAAATGCTATACGTCGTCGTGCACCAAAAATCACAATAACAGAGGAACATTCGGAAGCCGAACAAATGGAATGATTCTATTGTTTTGTTTTTGTTAATTTTGTTGTTATTCTTTATCTATGAAAAAAAATTGAAAAACAATAAAATCTCAATGTATCGATGTTTATAATAAAATAAAAAACGACACGACTAAATATGATATTTTATTTACTTATATTCTTCTCATTATTCTATTAAAGATGATCTATGACTGTCGGTCGTTCTAAACTTGTTCGAGATGTTCTTCATCTATATGCTGACTATATGCGTTTAAGTCGACAAGTACAAGGTTTAAGAGATATAGCACGTACTGAATTCAAACAATATAAACATTTAAAACCAAAAGATAATTTAATTTACATCGAATATCTTCTTCGACGAGGTAAATCACAATTAGCAACACTTCAAGGTCAAGGTGTTAAATCAATTAGTTTATCATCAAAACCTCGTGAACAATGACAAATTTTTCTTCTGAAATCCTTACCAATTTTCCCTTAACTTATAATACAAATGGACATATTGATCAACAACAAATAACATTAGCTTTTGGTTATGGTTCTGGTGTTTTAAAACAACAACAAGATATCAAAAAAGCAACACAACAAACTCAAGTTGATCTTATTTTAACTGTCAATAATTCATTTAAATTTCA